TGGTTAGTCCCGAAGAGGGCAATTATCCACAAATGTTATCTTTTGGGAGGGGCAGAAAACAGTTTTCAACCAGCGATTAAGTGCTGAGACTCTGCTGTAGAGCTCGTCACTTCCCCTAACTGGGAGGGGGCCAGAGACAATTACTCGATGCCGACACATCTTTCTAGCTGATTTACACGCTGAAGCTATGTTGCACTTGGTGACCTCTGACTGTTTCATCCTAACATCGTTGGTGCCGACGTGGATAACAATATCTCTATACTCTCTACACTCGCCAGTTTTAGCTTTAGCCAGCACCATCTTTAGATTAGCCTTAACGTCGGTAGCCCTGCCCCCTGGTAAACAGTGTATGATCGCTGGGTGATTCGTTTTAAGTCTAATACTGCGGGTAATGGAGTCGCCAATGACTAGGGTTTTCAATTTGTCAGAGCTAATGGTGGGAGCCTTCGGCGTCTCAGACCCCGTAACGGGAGGAGTAGAGACTAGAGAAGACTCAGACTCAGACTCCGACTCGCTACATAATGGGGAAAACCGGTTGAAGGTTTCTGTCGGCTGAATGAGCGACACCGGTTGAGCATTCCAACAGTATTTCCCTCCAGAAGCCATGAGAAAGTTGTCCGGCTGCAGGGACTGTGCGGGGGGAGTTATACTAACGTTACTGTCTGTACTTACTGGTGGCACAGACGCTGTTTCTTCCTTTCCTACACTGATAATACTCTTGCCTAACGATTGCGTCTGAAGCGGGGCTTGTAGCACAGCTATTCTCGCCGTAAGGCGAGAATTCTCCTGTATATTATGAGTACAGCGACTGCAATTAAAAGACATCATGTTAATGTTACTACTTAGCTTCGGCTGTTGAAGATGTTGATGAGCCATGTCCAGATAAAGCGTCCGGAGTGAAAAAGTTGAATAAGGGAAAAAAAGTTGCGATGGAAAAACGGAAAATAACGTAAAGTTGGCAGCTAAAACGCACAGGAAAATGACTCTTCTGTCTCGGGATAAACGTCCGGGGTGAAAAAGTTTAACGAAAAAAGATGAGTGAGGACAAAACTAAAAAGTTGGTAAATTTGTTGAACACAGAGATTGATTAAACGTTTATTAAAAGTAAAACGTGAATAGTTTGGCAGGTAGCCAAGTAGCAACAAACAGCAGAGCAGCACGGAGACAATGCGGAAGCGAGACGGAAGTCACGGAAGTCACATGTCAGGAGGGATCACAATGTCTCCGACAAGATCTGTTTCTGAAAAAATTAATTTAAAAAAAGCCACTTTTAATATTAGTTTCTTAACAAGCTCATTTATTTTTCAGACGATACATCGTTGTCAATCCAAATACCAAGTTATTTGTATGCAGGGACTCGTTCGATTTTAGAACCATCCGATGAGCGGCGATGTAATCCATCTGAGACAATCTTACGAGAACTTGAAAACAACATGTATTTAGTTTTGCCCGTATTAAGTACGAGTTTTAAATCAGTAAGGGCTTCCTGCGCAGCTGCAAAATGGGACTGTAGCCTTGTCACAGCCAGGTCAGCAGTCGTGGCAATTGTGTACATAACAGTATCATCCGCATTTGGATGATATTTTTGTTTTTTTACAGATTGATCAATGGCATTTATATAAATAGTGAAAATAACAGGTCCTAGTAGAAAACCTTTATGTACTGCAAGAAATTCGGACTGACTCAATCACGATGGCCTGAGTTCTGGCACTAAGATAATCATGAAACCACGTCAGGCATCAGAGCTCAGGCCTATTGAGGACAACTTATTCAATAAAATAACATGATCAACAGTATTAAAAGCTTTTGACAGGTCCACAAACAAAGTAGCACATTTCATTTTAGTGTCTAAAGCATTGACAAGATCATTAACAACTAAAGTGGTTGCTGCAATAGTGCTATGCCCAGGCCTAAACCCTGATTGGTTTACATTCTAAACACATTTCTCAGATAAAAAAGAGCAAAGTTGTACATTTCCCAAGGATTCTAGAATCTTAGCTAGACAAGGAAGCCTTGAAATGGGGCGATAATTATTAACATCACTCCTATCTCCGCCCTTATGGAGTGGCAGCACAAGAGCTGATTTCCATACTTTTGGGATATTTCCTGATAACAATGTTAAATAAAAAATGTGGGTTATTGACCCAACAATGATGGGTGTTGCACACTTAAGCAGACCAGGATCCAATTGGTCGGCTCCTGGGGATTTCTTGTTGTCTATTGCTATCAAAGCATCCAGGACTTATTTTTCTGTTAATAGCCTTAAAGAAAAGCTTTGACTCTCATTTCTCTGATCATTCAGCAAGTTTACCCTATCAGCACCCAGACCAATATCATTGTGAATAGTCTTAGAAGGTATTTCAAAGAGGCAGCCCGCTGAAATAAAATGGTGATTAAATGCATCAATGATGTCATTTTTTCCCGTAATGATGCCCGTGTCTGAATTAATTTATTGCGGCAAAGAGGAGTGCTGTGTGTATTCGACATTCATCATGACCTGAACTTCAACAAGTGCTGTGTGTATTTTTTATTTTTTATTTTATTATCAGTGAGTGATGGTCAAATTGTGTTATTGTTTTTTCGGTACATCACTAACAGGTTCAACTGTTCAATCTCCCAAAGAAGACGTCACCATCCACCTCCGTTTCCCTCTGGCCCTCTGCAACCCCAGCAGAAGCTATTTCATTAACATAGAAACAGGAAGTAGCACATTGAGCAACTACAGTAGGTCTTTCTGTCATACAGGGAGGTATTTGTTACGGTTAGTGTGCCTCACACAGGTCTAGACTTCAGGTGTCACCCCAGTGGTATTAACTCGTAGGTCTAAACCCAGTGGTTTTAACTCATAGGTCTAAACCCAGTGGTATTAACTCATAGGTCTAAACCCAGTGGTATTAACTCATAGGTCTAAACCCAGTGGTATTAACTCATAGGTCTAAACCCAGTGGTATTAACTCATAGGTCTAAACCCAGTGGTATTAACTCATAGGTCTAAACCCAGTGGTATTAACTCATAGGTCTAAACCCAGTGGTATTAACTCATAGGTCTAAACCCAGTGGTATTAACTCATAGGTCTAAACCCAGTGGTATAACTCATAGGTCTAAACCCAGTGGTATTAACTCATAGGTCTAAACCCAGTGGTATTAACTCATAGGTCTAAACCCAGTGGTATTAACTCGTAGGACTAAACCCAGTGGTATTAACTCGTAGGTCTAAACCCAGTGGTTTTAAATCATAGGTCTAAACCCAGTGGTATTAACTCATAGGTCTAAACCCAGTGGTATTAACTCATAGGTCTAAACCCAGTGGTATTAACTCATAGGTCTAAACCCAGTGGTATTAACTCAAAGGTCTAAACCCAGTGGTATTAACTCGTAGGTCTAAACCCAGTGGTATTAACTCGTAGGTCTAAACCCAGTGGTATTAACTCGTAGGTCTAAACCCAGTGGTATTAACTCATAGGTCTAAACCCAGTG